TACTTTTAACACTGTCTTTTACAAAGAAGAAGGTTCAAATATTAATAAATTTAACCTATTGATTTTTCCTTCCATAGATAATAACTTTGGGTATTATATCTGAAAAATTCACCAACATTAAAGGACATGCAGATTTTTCCTATTTATCTTTTTTCTATTAATTTTATTGAGAAACAAATAGCAATGAGAGTTTCAAAACAGATTAGTAGGACAGTTACAATAATTAATACATTGCATATTGTTGTCTTTGTAGCGGTTATTCCTAGTACAAGATGCAGAAATGATATCCTGTCCAAATACAAATCTTTCTTCTCATTTAATTAAGAAAGAGTAGCTGGATATCTATCCTAACTATTTTGTATATACAGATACAAAATGGTCCTTCATTTATGTCACCCTTTTTTGTTTACTTTTGTCAGAGAAAGATATTCCATTGTCATTTAAATATTGTAGGTGCATGAATTCAGCAAAATAATCCAATATAGTCCAGTAGGCCATAATAGTAGTGGGTTATCCATAGGACTGGCAATGTCAGAAGTTGTTGACTTGAGCCCCTTATAGCTCAGCATATTAATATGGCTTTACTTTTTATACCTCAATTTTTTTTTTTTTTTTTTTTGCAGAACTGGGGATTGAACTCAGGACCTTGCATTTGCCAGGGAAGTGCTTATTCCAAGCCATCTCCCCTGCCCCTATACCTCATTTTTATACTTTTCTGCTGGATGGTTAAGACCAAGATACAGGAAGATCTATGTAACAAGAAATGTTACTTTTGTACTGGACAAGGTAAGTTAAATCCCCTCAGGATTTACCCTGAAGCCCTGTACCACAGTTTGTAGATCCTTTGTCAGTGTCAGCCATGTGGATGAGTTATGGCCATTGCTTGACCAATTTGCTCTCTGTGAAAGCCTGAGAAAATGTTTTCTCTCTAGGTGACTCTCCTTAGGCACATTATACATCATCGATTACTTTCCTCTGTGGCCCCATAATCTCCTTGATCAGAAAATTTGGGACACCACTAAGTTATAGGATGTGTATTTTTCTTGAGAAATATAGTTTTTATATCTTCACATTTAAGTCTATGTCCATTTTGATTCAATCCTTGGGTCTTTGTGAATGATGCGAAATAAACACCAGTTGCCTATGTTTTTCTCAGCATGATCTAAACCTGTTCATAAACTTAGTAATATTTAATATTTTAATGAAACCAATCTAAAGGCTTCAAATAAATTCTAAATTTCAATTATAAAAAGACAAAATCAGAACAAATTTAATTGAAAGATCTTAATTAGGTTTATTTGTAGTTCTACCATAGAATGTTAATTAAAAATACTGCCAGTATAACATAAAACCGAATAAGCATTTCCCTGAGCTGAACAGAGTGAATTAGCTCTATGGGTAGAAAATGGATAAATTGTTTAAAAGTTACTCTCCTCATAAAGGTTAAGGCACAAAGGACCTCCTTACCACACTGGTTAAAAGCAGCTCATTGGGAGATTTGTCTATCATCTCTCTTCTTATTTCTCACAAGGTCTGATAATCAACTTTGTTTTAGCTTTGTGTTATGGAACTTTAGCAAGAGTAATTCCATTTTGGTTTGGTATTCAGAGCCCCATACAGGAGGTCAGTCCAAACCAATGGCTCCCTATAAGTTTTATTTAATACAACTTTCACTTATTAACATTCCTTTTTTTTCTTTCTTTTTTCCTTTTTTTTTTTTTTTTGTATTTACTGCAGGATCTACAGGGTCTCATTACATAGATCTGACTCATAGTGATTCTCCTGTTTTCAGCCTTGCAAGCGCTGGGATGACAGGTGCACATCACCATGCCCATTCTCAATCACTGTCTCAGCACGCCCCTGGGGATGGGGCCGGCATGGCATGCTGGGGATCGAACCCCAGCCACTGCACTTTGCCTAAGCAGGCACTTTAGTTACCATTCATTTTTAATGATCAGTTGTAATGACTTGCTTCTTGCCTACTTTTTCCACATTGTACTTTCATGTTCATTAAGTCCAGCCTTCTGCCATTCTCTCTATTGCTGAATTGCACCGAAGTACTACTGAATCTAGGACCTAAATACTCTCATGGGGGAAATTTCAGTCCAATTTTCCCCCAAGGATATGAAGAATCCCTGAAATTCAAGATTTTTCCTCTTCTCTTGACAAAAGAGATAAAATTAACAAATTGTAACCATAAGAAAAGGTACACAAGACCGAAGTGCAAACGTTTCTTTCCATCATATACACTGAGCATATTGCAACAAGAAAGCATGAAAAGTTTGTAAAATTCCAGTGAGAAATCTAGATCAGAAAGGATGCTTGGAAAGCCAAAAGGGATACGATCCTTACTGCCTTGAATGAGGTCAGGTAACCTCATGCCATGTTCGCATCACATCATGTTCCGACTGTGGGCCAGTCCCCCCACCCCCCACCCGACACTCACTGGAGCTCCACTGGGGGTTCTTTTGCCCAAGTGAGGAATTTCATCGAGGGTGCAGGACCAGGAAATCCTTTGGTGCAGTTCACCTTGGCAGAGTTGAAAGCAGTCTGAGTAACATCTGTATGTTATTTTGCACAGGTAATAGAGGAATCTTAAAACTTTTTTGGTTGATTTGTGTCTTAATTTTTGAATTTCCATCTCATTGTGTCTAAAAGCAGCAAAGTTAGTTTGATATCAGAAAATGGTCTCATTTTTTTCAAGTCTAAGGCAGCTTCTCTTGGAAGGTTTTTTCTCACACTGATTCATTCCCAATATGTATAACTTATTTTTATAAACTATCTCATTTTCATCTTACTACATTACTTTTTAATACTGAACATACAGTCACCGTTTTTATTTGCTGCATGGGTCTTATTCATTCCAAAATTACATTTATTCATTTTCTGTCTCTTCTTTGTCCCTTGTAGATAAGTTTGTCAAGGACAAAAACATTAGTTACTTTGTAGGACATAGCAGGTTCTTAAAGAAAAAGTGTAAGTTGCATAATAGTAGCATGGATGAATGTACATTATAAACCATAAATTTTATACAGATACTAGAACAATTAAGTGCTTATATTAATGAGAAGAGTGTATGAGGGAGATTACAGACACACTGAAAAGTTCCTTCTTAAATAGTACTTTTAAGGCAAAGATGATGTTCACTTTCCTTTTAAAGTTAAAATAAACAAACAAACTGAAATCAATCTAACTCAAGTATTTGAATATTTCAGCGAACATATTTCAGAAACCATCTTGCTGCAATAGCAAGACAGAGATATCGTAAATAAGGGTCAGAAGGGGTCCAACTTTTGTGTTGTGATAAACTTAAATGAAATTATAAAGTGCATACAAGACATTCCATTTCCTGAGGGCCTGTAGTAAAAGAGATCACATAAAAGAAGGTGAGTAACAAGAATAAACTTAGATGTATTCTGAGCTCGTAGGCACATTATGGAGTTAATTTCCCAACCCCACACTTTAAACAGTAGGGAGTGGGTCTGGGGGGAACATAAACCTGCCCAAATTAAGGAGGACAGAGGCACCTCTAGGAGACTACTGAATCTTAGGTGGACCTTAAAAGCGGATTATATATTGTGCGAAAACAATAACTGGATAGTTTGAAAAATTCACTGCAGTGTCATTGTTAGTTTGCTGTGATATAAATCAATGGCTTGATTTGATAGAGTTCTAAATCATGCTGAGAAAGGCAACATTCCAACCACTCTTGGTTGTCTACCATAGTAAACAAGTCAGAGAGTGAACTAGCTACACCATTCCATCACATACTACAGACCCAAGCAGCTCCATGATTACAGTCAAGGGTACACAAATTATTTCTCAACTAAATTTTTATTTCATGGCCTTACCTTCAAAGTGCATGCTATATAAACAAATTCCATTTCTGAAAATAATGTATTTCTTTTGCCTTCCTAAAAAGATAGTGTCCTGATAGAATCATTATTCGTCTTATAGAGATATCTTTAAATTAGCAACACAACTCCTAGACTTAGGCAACTGTGTCCAAAAAAATTATGACAATCATAATGTAATTAACTGGCAACAAAAATGGGAGTCATTTTAGACATTTTTCATTCCTGTACTGAGAATAAACTCAGATATAATAGAGTACATTTGATGAATCAGAACCACCTTCTCTCATCACTCCATATTTATTCCATTTTCACAACAGCATTTAGTTTAATTTAATTCATTGTTGTAGAAGAAAGCATCCATATAACCACTGCAGAAGAGTAAGAAATGTGTTCTTTTTAGATTTTTATACTTTTAAAATTATATTCAGATGATTTTTAATTACTACAAAGGCATTGAAATGTTAATACACTTCATGGAAAAGGCAAGGATGCTATTGCATCCACCCTTATCTGCAGCGAATTTCAAGTCTAAGAAAATTATTTCTTTTGATCCACTCAGATAGCATGTAATAAAAGAACAATAAAACATATGGCTCAATTACTACTCTTCTCTTCAAGCATGAATTACTGAATATCAAATTATTATTAATTGTTTTTCTGGCTCCCTCTCCATAGGACAATTATACACTGCTGTATTGTGATAAGTGTTTTGTGTTTAACACTTGATGAGCCAGGCTCTAAGAAGCACAATGCATGAAATTTATTAGATGGGAGGGTAGTTCTTTCAATTTGTCATCAGTTCAGAAATGCTTGATTACCTTTCATTGTCTCTATTTATGTCAGTTGCTCAAAGTTGCTTAAAATCACCTGAGAATTTCATCCCCACCTCAATATGCCTTTCTTAAAGAAACAGTGATGTGTCTCTGAAATATTTTATAAGTTCAGTTTCTCAATATTAACAGTAGTACTAGTTTCTCATAACTGCTGAATTCTCAATTGTTTTCTGTAAAGCTCTTCAAAACTAAAAACTATAATTTAAGTAATCAAAAATAAGTTAATTGATATAGCATTGACTATAATACATTGTAATCACTATAATTGAGAAAAACAATGTGAGTGGATATTTATAGACATTCCATAAAATTATGCATAACTGATAGTTCACTTTATTTGTATAAGCCTTCTGTAAATCTACAGTTATCAGTAATATGAGTACATGTAACATGTCTCTATAATCCATAACCATTATATCTTGTACATTATTTGTATTTCAGACTTTTGAAATTCATGCAAAGGAAACTTAACAAATTATATTATGTAAACTATACATGTCACATTATTTTACCTATGCCAATAAGTTCATTTCTTTTTTAAAAAATACAGTACATATAAATATGGCTGTGATAAACTAAAGGATGACACAAAGGTCAAATTGTTTACTTGCCCACTTTAGATGATAAGCTTAACAAACACATATACTGGTATGATTTAAATGAACAAACTCAAAGTTCCTTCATTAAAAGAGAACTGGGAAAGTAAAAAGTAGGAAACATTTTCTCCAGTACCCCCACATTATGAGTAATGTCATCGAGATGTAGAAATCTTAAGTGATTTTCTACAACACACAACTTTTGATGTTGACATCTTTTTGCCAAAGTTTGTACAAAAATTTCTAACATTTCCTTTGCAGAAAAAAAAGCATATCTTGCTACCTTTAGTATCTTTGTTAGGGTGTCAATAGTGCCTGAGAACCCAAATTCTTAGAAGAATAAAGATGAGAAAAATAAATAACTTTGCTAGAATGGGAGCCATGATGTAGCACTAGGGATGGATCTAACTATGGCTGACAATTTTCACTACCATCAAACACATTATTTCTTTCATTCTAATAACTAGAATCATATGAGTTTCTTATCATTAATCTAGCCAGATGCCAGATGGCTCTTTTCATTTCTATAACCTTATTGAAAGTAAATAGATTATTTATGCACTATTAGAATTATTATAATTTTATATAAATGTTGATCTTCAATGTAAAAGCTTTTATAGATTGCATGTTTTCAAAACTTGTAACTTTTAATTCTTTAATAAATGTTTTCCATCTTGATTTCCATGTATTGGCACTATTGAATCCACTTGGCTAGGGGAAAAAAAACAGAAAACAAATTCAGTAGAAAAATAAGCCCACAATCAAAATTCAGAAGAAAAACAAATTTAAACATTTCATCCAGGAGATAGTGGTGGATTACACATTCCAATCTACCTTCTACTACTGAATTCATCAGTATGGCCTTTGGTCATACATGAAATACTAAATGCCAGGCATGGATATTTATGACATACGTGGGGGTCATAGCCTGATAACTTATGTGTACTGCAAAAAGTACAATGGCTCTGGAGTGGTCATGGGAGTCAGGGAGGAGTATACTAGGCCTTCTGGGTCTGTGGGTAACCATGGCATAACTGTTAAGCCAGACCACCAAGTCACGGAGACTGAAAGCTTTAGAACTCCCACCATGCACATTAAGACCTATGATATAATATTGGATCATGATAAGCCTGCTAAATTAGAAAAGTGAAATCTGCAAACTGTCTGGGGAAAGCAAAAAATAGACGGCAAAGTATGAATATAATTAGGTTTATTCTTGTACGCGATTCGGCAGCCTGATGGAGCGTGGGCTTCTGAATATTTTTCAGTGCATTTTCCAGATGTAGCATCCCGGTAGCTCATTAGGCTGACGTATTTGTCATTAAGTTCTGTACTTTGGATCCCACGTAGGAATCCCAAATGTTTCTCTTTCACTCACTACAGCACCAAGATATCAGGAAAAAAATTGCCTTTCACATAGAGCTGTGGACCTCCTCCTTGATAACATTTTCATTATTATACCTGCATACTATTTTTAAAATTTATTTATTTATTATTTATATTTATTTGATACAGGGTCTCACTACACAGCTCAGACTCATAGCGATCCTCTTGTCTCTGCCTCTCCAATGCTGGGATCATAGGTGTGCAACACCACGCCTGGTCTCAGTGGCCGGCACAGCACACCCAGAATTCTGAGGCCAGCACTGCATACGGTACAGGGGATCAAATCTGGGTCCTTGTGCCTGCCAGGCAGGTGCTTAGACAACTGAGTTGTCACCCTAGCCCTACCTCCATACTACTGAATAAAATGTAGATAGTGGCTTTTAAAATCAATCAAGTTTCACAGAACTTTATGCTGTTCACTTGTCATTACTCTGCATATCTCAGGTTTTCTTTGAAACCTTTCATACTTTATTAAAAAAATGGTAGTTAAAAAATACATGTTCTTCATGTTGAGTGAAATAAGTCATACGTAGAAAGTATGACATGTTTTCCTCGTGTGTGAAAAGAAGACAATATTGTCTATAAGTAGAAGTGGGCCTACTGGGGACTGGGGAGCAGGATTACAGGGAGAAGACCAGAGGGTAGAGCCAGCGTGGACATGCTTAGGACACGATACATGGAAAGATGGGAATGTCACAGTGCAGCTCATTAATCTGTACAATTAATATATGATGATCAAAATATATGCCCTTAATGTTTTCTTTTCACTGCAAGCCTAAATTACAGTAACATTTGATCTCAAACTGCTAACAAAAGCTAAGTTAACATAGAATTACAGAAAACTGTTTTTTATTTAAAAGTAACATAGTGGCACTTATTGTAATAACCAAATTAGATGTTTTAAAAAGCACATTCAAGTGTAAGTGTAAAAGGTCACTTATAAAAATGAGTTTCAATTAAACAACCATTTTATAAAAGGTCTATTTGTGTGGGAAAAATGGAAAATTTTCTACAACAAACAGCTTCATTGCTTAGTTGTATTGATGTCCTCCTCTCTAATGTCAGGATACAATATAAATGTTAGCTAATTTTATATCTATAAACAAAATAGCATCACAATGTAACTATTTTCACCTAAATTTTTATGTGAGTATAATTAATAAACTAGTTGTACTTTATTGGAATATGTAATTTTCAATGATACTAATTGCTCATTAATGTTAAAAATAACTGTCCTTTACAGAACATAACACTTACCCATAACCTTCGAGTAGCAAGGCTCACAGTGTATTGTTTGTCTATAAATCCAAATGCTGTCACCTGCTTTCAGATTTTCCAAAGGCCGTTTGCATATTTCACACTAAAGAAAAAAAAATAAAGTTTACATAATAGATTAGGTATAGATTCTTAGCAGAACAGAGATAGAAAGTCACATTTAGTTCAATCAAAACTCCCTTCCACAAAACATTCATATATATATATATATATATATATATATATATATATGGAACCAGGGATTGAACTCAGACCCTTGCGCTTGCCAAGGAAGCACTTATTCTATTGAGCCATCTCCCCAGCCCCACAAAACATTTAGAGGCATCTACAAGAGAAATCATGGGTTAGTAATAGTGACAATACTAAAAAAGAAGTCCCAGGGAAATTGAAAATATAATTGTCTATAACTCACATGCCAAGCTTTTAAAAAAATTCTCACAGCATTTAAGGGAGACACTAATACTGAATTTTATACTTAACTCACAATGCAATAGATACACATTTTAAAAAGTTGGTTATGCCAAGCGTAGGATGACCACTGAATATTTCAAACAAAAATAGACCTGCATTTATTAATGGCTTTCATACGGAGCACTGTGCTGGCCAGGCGCAGCCCCACAGAGCAAAATAAGGTGCTAATCGTATAGGTCTAAGGGGCTTGTTTTGAGTTGTAGACCAGTGCAGGAGAGTACCTCTTTTTTAGATCTGTCCATTGCTGATTGGCTGAATTCCAAACATCAGGTTGTTACTGACTAGCTTTTAGAAATGGGCTCACTACAAGTAGATTGTCATCGATCAACTTGACAAGTTTAAACCAGCTTGGATGGTTATCTACTACCAGGACTACAGCACAGTCTATCTTTCTCCATGAGTTTGGAAAACATTTTAATTCTGTTATATTCTATAGCTATATTCAAAATGTTATAAGTGAAAATTACTTCTATTCACCAAATTATTAATCAAGAATTTTGTTTTATAATGTTTTCTGAGGACCAGCCAGATAGCTCAGTGGACTAAAGTGCCTGCTTAGGCAGAGCGCAGTGGCTGGGATTCGATCCCTGGCATGCTGTGCCAGCCCCGCCCCCAGAGTGCACTAAAATGAGGATTGAGACTGGGTGTGGTGGTGCAGGCCTATAATCCCAGTGCTTGGGAGGCTGAAAATGGAAGAATCACTGTGAGTCTGATCTACCTAGTGTGACCCTGTAGATTCTGTACCAAATACATTTTTTAAAAAAAGAATGTCTATGTTTTCTGCATATTAATTTTAACTAAAGGGCTAATACTTTTATTTAATTCAATGCATTTCATAACTATAAGAAAATAATTTTCTGCTCTTATAGCCAAACAATTATTTAATCTTTAGACTATTTTTTAATGTATTTGGCTGTTGCAAGGTCTTACTAGCAGCTCAGACTTGTGGTGATCCTGCTGTTTTTATCCCCTCCAGCGCTGAAATTATAAGTGTGCACCACTGTGCCTGGACTCTGTCCAGCTCAGTCTGACCTGAGGGTGGCGCTGGCTCAGCATGTGGTGACAGGGATCTAAATACAGTCACTGCACTTGCCTAAACTTGCCTAAGCAGGCATGTTAGTTCACTGAGCTATCTCGCTGGCCCCCAGACTCAATTTCTCTAATCCTAGATTGAAGGGATGTTTTGCTGGGCAAGCCAAATAGCTCAGCAGATTAAAGAGCCTGCTTAGGCAGACACAGGGGCCAGGCATTCGATCCCTGGGCCTGCCATGCCTGTGCCCCAGGGCATGCTGAAATGGTGATTGAGACTGGGCATGGTGGTGTGCACCTGTAATCCCAACACCTGGGAGGCTGTAAACAGGAGAATCACTATGAGTCTGATCTATATAGTGAGACCCTGAACACCCTGTAGACCCTGCCCTAAATATAGAAAAAAATGATATACTATATTCCTGATTGCTATATGTTATTGTCTCAAGGTAAGTGGAGCAGAAGCAATCAATTGATGGAGTGTTACATCTATTTGACTGGATTAGATAATTTGCATCAATTACAGAATGACAGCAGCAGAAAGGACATAGATTTGCGCAAATGTTTTCAAATTGGCTACATCTCAGAACTATCAAAGGGGCTTTTAAAGAGGGGAGCAAAAGATGAAGGGGGAAGGGAAAGGGGGGGAGGGAAAGTGGATTAAAAGAGAATTAAAATATGCCAGTCCCCATGAGGAATATAATCATTGTGCCTTGTAAATACATACTAATAAAAAATGAAAAAATAAATAAAACTACTGATACTCTCACATCATCTCTAAGATAGTAGGGTTAATTTGGAGTTGATCCTAATTTATTTACTCCTATACTCTCAGATTATTAACATATGTAGCCAGGATTAAAAACAGTTAGTTAACCACCTCATTTTACTATTACAGAAACAGGCCAGAGTAAGGTGAATGACTGCCCAGCTGCAGTTACAGCGAATGGCCGAGGCAGAACAAAAGCTCGTCCACGAAGCTGCAGCTCAGCACTTGTGCAGTGGTGCCGCTCACCCACCGTATTGTGTGAACGAAAATAAGCATTCAATGAAACCGAACAGTAAGACATTCTGCTAATGAAAGTTTACTGTTAGTTAATAACCACAATTATTATGACTAATTATGGTCTCAAAAGCAGATTGTTGGCCAGATAGCTCAGCAGACTAAAGCGCCTGCTTAGGCAGATGCAAGAACCAGGGTTCAGTCCTTGTCGTGCTATGCTGGCCCCGCACCTGGGGTGCGCTGAGACGGTGATTGAGACTGCGCATGGTGGCGCTTCTGTAATCTCAGCTCTTGGGAGGCTGAAAACAGGAGAATCGCTAGGAGTCTGATCTATGCAGTGAGACTTTGTAGACACTGTACTAAATACATTTTTTTAAAAAAAATCAGATTGTTTGCTCATTGTTAAGCCTATGAGGCTAAATTCATGATGAACTGCTATTTCTCTTCTCAAAGGTTTAGCTTCCTTTCTTATTTTAATCATACATTTTACATAATGTAAAATTTGTTTTATTAAAATGTAAAACTTTTATAAAAAGAACAAGTGTTTCATTTATATCTGGTACCCTGAGCAACTAGTTGTATCATGTAATACAGCAACCAATGTTGAACTCTCACTACTTTGTTTAGTGAAATTTTGTATTCCTTCTAATGTTTTTTTTCTATCATTTCTTTTTTCTTTTTTTTCTTTTTTTGGCAGAACTGGGGATTGAACTCAGGCCCTTGTGCTTACAAGGCAAGCACTTATTCTACTGAACTATCTGTCCAGCCCCACTATTTTGTATTAATTTTTTTAAAAAAGGACAAGTATTTATCTTTTCCACAGATTTAAATATCTAGGCTAAGAAGGAATAAATGTATTAGTAATCAACTCCAAGCCTAAAGTCAAAATAGTAACACAAATCTTTAAAGTTTAAGCCATAGAACTCTGTAATATATTTAAGAAGTACATTATCAATATAGAGTTTCTAAAAGCTTTAACTTCAATCCTGGTATTTTAATAAATAATTATTTTTTATTCCTGACACTGTGCCATTTTATATTTAATTAAATGAAATAAACACATTTACCTTAAAGCAAGTGGAATGACAACAAATTTGTAATTCATCTAAAATCATTTTTGTTTCCACACCCAAGGGTTTTCGACAGTAAGTACACATATCTCTTTCAATGACAGACCTACAGAGACATAAACAATTAAAATAAATTTGCCATCATGTAAAATATATTTATATTTTATGATGTCATGTGAATATGATATGTTATTTTTGCTGGTATTTTAGTAAATCTCACTAAGATCAAGAAAAACTCAGAGTTTACTTATTCTACTCATAAGATTGATTATCTAGTTACCCCTAAAAGTCAAGGAATGAACATAATGGAAAATCTCCAATTACTAATTCATCAACAATCAAAGAAGCATCTGGGCAGGACAAAACAGTTCTTTTTCATAGTTGAACTAAGCCTTAAATACCCATGGAAGACAGATGAGGGTTTTTAATTATTAATGTACACATACCATTTTACAGAGTTCATGAGAAAATTATTCTTCTGATGAATGTAAATTTTTAACTCGCAAAACATTCAATAGATCAAAAACAGAAATCCATTCAAGAATGAGTTCACAAGCTCACAAACAATAGATCTCAGGACCCCAAGGTTTCAGCTCACTATAACATCCCCTTTGGTTTCACTGTTAAGAGTCAAGATGTGAACAGGATATCTATCTTGATGAAATTTACACTCTACAAGAAGATGTAAGCCTGCCACAAGTTTGATGAGAGAAAAAAAGTTTTCTTATTGACATTGGAAAACTAATGTTCAAAAATAATGTATAAAATATGAATTATACATTTGACCAGCTGAGTTAAAAAAAACCTGTGATCACAACAGAACCTGTTCCTTTCCTGTCTTAAAAATCACCTGGTAGAGTTGATTGGTTCTGAGGAAATAGCATGCAGGCCTGAAATTTCCAGAGTAAGATACATAATGAGGCAGAGAAACAAAAAGTAACCAGTAGTAATATAGTATTTATTCTATGCAGTGATTTTCCTATGCACTTTACTTGTAGAAATTCATTCATTCTTTGCAATATCCCTGACAGGACAATATTGTCATTTTTGCATCATTTTACATGAAAGGAAGCTAGTGCACAGAAAGGTAAGCCAATTGATGCTGTCATGCAGGCAGTGAGCAGATAAGAACAGAGCAAGCGCGGCCCTAGCGTCCCTGTCCTGCCTGAGGTCCACTGGGCTCCCTGCAAGAAATGAGCTAGTTATACCTAGAAACAGAGAGAAGGAAAAATGGAAGGAAGAAAAAGAGAGAAAAGATTAGAGTAGATACATTTCCCCATGAATTCTCCATATATATGTAAGTATATATGCACACTATACAGCTTCCTGCCCAAGAGTGTAAGCACTTGAAGAGTAGAAAATGGGTGGTATAGTCTGTCCCATATGCACTATTTTCTGGTGAGTCTTTCCTGACATGCCCTAGTTGGGTTATTCTATAATCTGTGCAGTCCACAGGCACTGATCTAGGAGCTGGGAATACTGATGACATGGCTGCTGGTGAGAAGCTCTTTTCACTGGGTGAAAAGTGTATGGTTCAGTGGTGACAGCATGACATGAACACATGGAAAGAGTTAGGCAATCCCACTGAGATGCAAACAACTCTGGGAGTAGTGGGGTCAGGAAGGGCTTGTCAGAAGAAGTGCATATGGGTTAAATCTTGGAGATGAAGGAGTCCTTGGGGTGGTTGGTAAGGTGGGCAGAAGAGCCTGCGGGAGAAGCTCCAAGCAGAATGAACAGGGTGGACAGAATGAGGGCACTGCAGTGACTGAACAGTAGTCCATGCTTAGCAGCAGCAGGTTCAGAAGCCCTGTAGATAATGTACAAAGGACTCTGGCCTTTATTTTATAAAGCAGCAAGCTACTTTTAATGGGCTTAGAGTGCTTGGATGAGAAGGCTGGGCACTCAGCCAATTTCACACACTCATCAACATCAAAAGTCTTATAGAAAACTGACTTTTGCACTGTTGACTAGGTAAGATTTCACAAATGGCCTTCTGGGCAGGAATGAAATTATACTGACAGTAATATAGGAGAACATTTTCCTTCTTTAAGTTAGCAATAAAAATACAAGCCCAGAGAAAGCTCTTAAAGCCTTATTAAGATCACATGATTAGTTAAAGATCTTTCCAAAGATTTATAGAAAGCTTAGTGCTGGAGTTCTTTTGGTTGCTTTACATCCATAGTTTTAATATTTATAGAGATTACTTTCTTGCTCAGAAAGATGTGACCTAAAAGGTAGCATCTCCAGCAGAGATTTGATAATGAAAGATCCTATAAAAGCATCAGAAAGAGACCGTAATTTTTATTTTCAGTGGACACTACAGAACACTTTCTTTATCCATTCATTGTCAGTGGGCACCTAGGTTGATTCTATACCTTGGCTATTATGAGCAAAGCTAGCTATAATGAACATAGAGGTGTAGAAATCTCCTTGGAACATGGATTTCCTTTCATTTGGATATAAATCCAATAGTGGAATTGCTGTATCATATGGTGGTTCTATTTTTAGTTTAATAGGAACCTTTGTGCTTTTTCCAATGATATTTTAATAGTTTACATTCATACCACCAGAGAAACAGGATATATTTTGATGCCTGATCCACTTACACTTCCCTTAACAACTAGGACAGGGGGTTGGCTTTTCAGGAAAAAAATGTATAGCATACCTGTAAGAGGCCAAACACTGCATTAGATGTTGGGGCTACACATAAAAAGTAAAATATGTCTTAATGTGTCAGTGAGTCTTATTTGCAGCATGTGAAAAGCACCATTAGTGACATATCAGACATTCACATAGAGCTTTGCTACACCGATGAGTAAAAACACTAAACATCTTCATTTACTCCTCTAGTGGTCTGCAGGCCATATTCTCCTGAGTGTGGCCTGGGAGGCTGATGAACATTAAAAGCTAAAGAGGACCAGATGCCCCCAAAACCTTGAGTGGGACCACTTCACCAGCACCAACTCAATACTCATCGTAACCCTACACCCAGGTACAAAACTGGGTCCTGAGTTGGTTACAGCAGCACATCCATGCAGCTGGCTTTGGAAAACTACAAGCACAGAGGACTGAGCGTACTCTAGTCAAGCAGTGAGGCTTAGATACTATTATTTGGTGGCCTGGGGACTTCTCAAAATCACCAACAGTGAGCTGGCCTGTGTGGAAAGGACTTTTGGAATAATATGCATCAAAATCAAGAGCCCGATGAGCTATTGCCAAAAAGTCAAGAAGCAAATCCCTAGATGTAGAGTTGTATACCTTCTCTTCATACACATATATAGCAATCAGCATTGGGAGAGCCATATCCACATCAAAGGGTGAGAAATATACAATGTACATATAAGTAGGCATTGTACTTGCACATATATCCAAAGGTATGTATGCATATTTTTGTACTAGAAGATGTAGACATACTCACCTATCTGAAGTTGAATAAACAGTTTGTATATACTTTCCAGAGCTATTCTCCTGATACCCATTCTTCGGTATTTCACTAGAAGCAAACATATATGGACATGTGAGAATCAGGCTAACTTCTGGAATGTTGACATGCATACCCACATACAGGTAAGAAAGCACATCCACACCCCCTCATGCCACCTTACTTTATTGTTTCTTGTGATGCTGCAAGTCCAGATGACATGCTGACACCTGTTACTCTTTAATCTGAAGAAGCACTGGTGCACAAGGCACCTTTAAGTTTGGCATCACCAGAGTAAACAGAGAGTAGGACAAGGAGTACAGGAATAAGCGAGAGCAGGTAAAGGTCATGGTTTTTCATGAAATTTATATTTCCTCTCCACATGCTTACTAAAGTGAGATGGAGTCTAATCTAGCGAGAAAAAACATCCAGGGCCAAGCACAGCAAGTGCATACACACATACCACTCCCAAGGAAACAGGCTCTTGAACTTCTGGAGAAAGCTCTAGAGATTTCTTTTTTACTTGAGAATGCAAGTTTATTTATTTATTTATTTAGGCACTGGGGATCGAACTCAGGACTTTGCATTTTCCAGGCAGGCACTTATGCTGCTGAATTATATTGCTAGCCCCTTATTTTTATTTGAAAATGTCCAAAAAAGGGTAGCTTAGAATGAAAAAAAATTGGTATAATTTTAAGTCCTGTATTTTCTACTTTCTAGATTGATTCCAGTTTGTAAACATCACTCTTTTCCAGAGACAAATGAATCTGTAATTCATTAACAAGTTGGTTCCTTGTAATTGCTTCTGAAGTACTTCAGCTACCTGGGAATATATTAGGATTAGAAGCAATATGCCCCTACCATTCTGGACAATGATTGATAATTCTGTATCTCTCACTTGGAATATTTTTAATGGGAAATCTATCTCTTCCTTCAAATCACCCACAGGCAGACTGCTGTCAGAGCTAAAAGAAACTACTATGAAAAATAGTAGTCCACAGTGCCAAATGGAGTTTGTACATATTTATATGCAGTGTAGATACCATTAGCTCTACCCCACTGCTGATGAATCTGAGATTTAGTAATTTTCCCAAAGCTACGTGGCTCGTAAGTGGCAAATGAGAACTTAACCCTGAATCTGATCCTAGGGAATTATGTTATATCATATATTTTGTCAATATACTTTTTAGGGAAGTTGAAGATACTTGAGGTACATCACCATCTATATTAGATTAAGGTACAGGAATAACTCATCCTTCCAGAATTTCAGCCTTACAAACTATCGGCCTGACATACAATGACACTACTCTTTAGAGTAAAGATTCTTAAACTTGAATGTACATCAGAAACATCGTGAATTTGTTAAGACACAGATCACTTGATTCTCCCAACAAAGTTTCTGATTGAGCAGGTCTACAATGAAGCCAACAAACTGTCACTTCTAACAGGTTCCCAGGGGTCATTGACCTCCCCAGGCTGCACTTCAAGAATGACTATTCTATGTGCATATGACACACAGGTATAGGTACAGGTACAGACAGAGGTGCAGATGTAGAAGTAGATACATATACAGAAGCAGGTACAGGTATAGACACAGATGCAGATAGAGGTGCAAACACAGATATGGGTAGAGGTTCAGATACAGATATACATATGTGTATACATGCTGTAGTTTTTTTAAAAAAAGCTATTGTCAGCATAGTTAAGTATTTCAAGTATGTTTTGGTTTCTGCACGATTCACCTGTTTGATAAATCCAAAACCACAATACATGACATTTAATAGAATATTTTCTAAAAGAAAAGCCACCATTTCTTCTAAAAAAATCAAAATTATAGTTGTTCACATTAGTTCCCATGAGATATTTCTTTAGAAAGTAAACTGCACTGGTATGCTATCACATAGGGTTATAGTATGTAAGAGATTATTATGTAAATATAGAATAAAGGCCTAAGTTATTTTATTCTATTTTCCAGTGTCTGGTGTCTTGCCTTCTCTGGAATACGATTTTGATGTTATTGTCTACTCACTTTCTGGCACATTTTGAGTTTCCTGACTCCTGAGAATGCCCTACACAGAGAAAGATTTCCTGGATACTCAAGTCTTCAAGGTGGGCTCACGTGACATGTGCATTGGCACATATGTGCCTTGCTATTGTATTGCTTCACAATTAGGCTAACCCCAAAATGGATGCTGAATCCTTGGCTCTGGATGACATCTTCCTCCTCACGCATGTTTCCCACACACAGATGTCATGGGACATCAGTTCCCTGCAATTTGGGCCAGAGTGTATCAGCTCAACGTGATACCCTTATCTGAGACTGCGATAATCTACAACAGTAGATGAAACCACAACAGCAGCTGAGCCATCTCACTAAAATGGGTTTCCAAATTAGTATAGAAATACTTGTGTATGTTCACACAGCTTATTATAATCATATAGTCATTTGTGTTGTGAGAACTTATGCATTATGTGAAAATAGTCCACCTGGTGACTATTATTACTTGTCAACGACTTAATTTGGAAACATTATAAAGGAATATATGCCTACAGTTCAATTTACATGTAAATGGTTTTCTATTTGAAAAGAAACATACCCTAAAGTGGTGATATCACTTCTTATACACAGATCATTTCAAAATTATGAAATAATACAAAAATATTTGCAATAAATTTCCAATACCTATTCTCTACATACGTCCTTGTGTACATAACAGTGTCCTTTGGTCTTGCATGTCTGGTTCCAGTACTGGAGCTGCAATACAAACCATGTTAGAAGTTTACTTATATGGATAATAAAACAGCAAGGACATTATCCAAAACAATGCAAAAAGTAATAATTTTTATGTTCTTTCTACATTGTGCTTGTTGAAATATCAAGGTTAAAGTGACACTGACTTTTTGCAAAATTTCATCATACCTTCCACTTTTTCTTAAGAGCCACTGTTTTGATATACTTTCAAATATTATGAAAATTGGCCCCTCAGAAAATACATTTAGAGCGTGAACACTTTATTTTGAATATCTATGCATGTCTGTTTTCCTGTCTTTCAGTCATATTCCCATGCCATATTTTCCCCCATAAATTCCAAATAAAAAAGTGAGCTACGTGACAACATTATTTTTGTATTTTAGGAAGGGTCTCCAGGGTGTTCAGGGTCTCACTACTAGATGGGACTTGGAGTGATCTGCCTGTTTACCACCTCCTAAGAGCTGGGACTATAGGTGTGCGCCACCATGCCCAGTCTCATTGCTATCTCAGCGCGCCCGAGAATGGAGCCCCTAGCCCCTGCACCTGCTTGCAGGTGCTTTAATCCACTAAGCTATTTGGCCAGCCCCATGACAACATTTGATTTAAGGGAATGTTTAGCTCTAGGTAGAAAATGTCAATATCAAAGTCATAATTGTGTTTAATGAAACTGTAGATTTTGATTTAAAATTGTGTTTTATATTTTCCTACCCAGGTGTCTCCATAATAACCAAGTTGCTAATTTAACACTTTAATATAAAACTGTTTACAAATGACATATAAGCTCAGATCAAGAAACTTCTGCATTTCAAAGAAAGGGCCAGCTTGAGCGTGGAATTCAAAAATCAACAAAAATGGACAAAATAGGGGCCGGGGAGATGGCTCAGTGGAATAAGTGCTTCCCTGGCAAGCTCAAGGGCCTGAATTCAATCCTTGGTTCTGAAAAAAAAAAAAAAAAAAAAACAGGCAAAATAGTCCTGCCATTTGTTTGGTAGTTTCGTACAGTAAACTCAGGTCTGGAATGTGCCTGTCTTCATAAGAACAGGCAGAGGTTCTTGTGGATTTGTTGTGTAGGGCACGAGGATATCTACTGACCTGGCTGTCTGCTGGAGACAGCAAGTACACATATCTGCCCTTTAAAATTAGGACCACATAAAAGTTTTTTTAAAATTCTTATTAAAATTAGAAACCAGACAAGGTGGTGGATACTTGTAATCCCAGAAGTTGGGAGGCTGAGACAGGAGGATCGCCATGAGTTTAAGACCAGACTGAACTACGTAGCAAGGCCCTGTCTCAAAATTTTCTACTCAGTTGACTATTTTACATAGTTAAGCTCCTTATGTCTGCCCTGTTTACACACGTTACACACTGAATCCATGATCTACTAGACTCTCTCTGCAGAAACCAATGTCTCACGCATTAGGATAATCTACAGACTTGAGCCGCATCATCTAACACTAGGGTAAAATATTTCGCATCAGAGACAGGAGCCTCGGGTGGCAAATTGCTTCCTGTACCATTTTCACACCAGCAGGGAAAGTTCAGAAAGCTTCCTATGTATGACACATCCGAGAATTTATCCTTCTAATGAAAATGATCCAGGGGCTGCTCTGAGACATTCCACTTTCTATTTTGTTTTTAATGAAAAGCAGTGCTTTGAAGATGATAGCAGAATTCTGACCTAGATTTCTGCTACTCTAAAAATGTCAGTATGTAACAGAGGACTGGCATATTCATCTTTTCCTGTGGAAAAGAAGAAATTCTTAATGGAAGAGTAGTCAAACTTTTGGCTCCTTTTCCTCACTCATGTTATGTTAGTAAACCTTGACAGAGAGACACAAATACCTACCAGAGAGTTTAGATTTCAATCAAGCTTTATCATTCTCAGACAGGCTGTGCTTTGCATTCCTGGACAGCTTGACTCTCTCTTCAGAGAGAGGAAAACCTCTGTCCACAGTCCTTGACACACAGATTATCTTTCGATATTAATGCAGACATTTCACAAACACAGAGCTGAATTCTAATGGTTCTAACATCGTGGAAAGGTAGAATTAATTGATATTAAAGGTTGTTATGACATGAATATTAGAGTAAGTCTTTCTGGGAACAATAAACCTATTTGGGAATTGTTTTAGAAATACTATTCAAAGTATACAACGTACAAATTAAAACTCAACCTTAATAACACAGGTAAGGTCAAAATGCAAATGTCATTGCTGGGATTGCTTAAGTGTTTGCATTTTCCTCAGCAATGTAAAATTTTAAAAATTACTGGTTTGTGAAATCTGTAAGCAGAAGACAGAAATAGTTCACAAACCACACTGTCATATACTGAATTATTCCCTGCATTTGTGTGTTGAATCCCTAACACTCAGTGTGACTGTGTTATTTTCTCATTAATTCCTCTGATAACATATCTGTCACAATTTGGGTTTTTGCAAGGGTGACAGTATAGTACAGGACACATTTTATAAGATTATTTATAATGAATCACCCAAAGAATCATATACAAAAAGTGCAGAAAATCTGTCCACACATGAAAGACCAAAGAATCCAGCTGAGGGCCTGGATCCTAATATGCTACATAAGTCTTGCTGGAAAAGTAGAGCTCATAACAATGACTCCCACCATCCACCTGGAGGCCTAGAGCCCACAACAGTATCCCATGCAGGCCTGCTTTATGAATCTGCACTGGGAAGGCTCAAAGCTCAGTGATGGAAGCAAAAACATTTGTACCAATGGGATGAAAGATCTGTGCTGAGAGATCTGAACTGGAGCCAGGAAGGGAAGCTTAAGAACCAGAGCTCCCCAAAAAAGTACCACAGCCTTCCTCAGCAACAGTGAGGTCTCAAGCTCCTCTGACAATGAAAATACCCAAGTTCCCATAAGGAAAGCCAATGTGACGGGCTTCTCCAGGAGGCTGAGCTGTGCACCATGCTCAGGAAGCGTTGTTCAAGGTGGGGACCAGAGCTCCCCCAAAGAAACCATAGCTATTCTCAGTGACAATGAGGTCCCAAGTCATCCTCTAGGAAAAACAGCCAAGTTTGCCAGGAAATCCAGCATAATAACATCTTCCAGCAGGATAGCCCAAGAGAACCAGCCACCTCCAGCAGCTGCATCCAGCTTCCCTAACAGCTTTTCTCTTCTTCTCCAGTTCAGCCTTGTATGCTGCTGGCATCAATCCTCAGGTGGGCCTCCCCCATGCAGCACCATGCTAGTTCAGTTCAGCTGGCTATAACAAGTTGACCACCAGTTGGCAATCCACTACAACATCTTTTCATGAAGAAGCCCAACTGAAATGACAGCGCCTCTCAATCTCATTGAATGGGAAGTCCTTTAATTATACTTAATAATTTAGTCGTGTCTTTACCTCAGTCATCTCCAAATAATATTTGAATGAGATTGGTTAATTCCTATTCCCAAAATAGTGTATGTGTTTTCAGGATGAGTAGATCATATTGAAAATGTGTCCTCCTTTCTTCTATCAAAGATTTTGCTGGGATCATGAAAAGAATACAGAAAATGATTTAGAGAATTATAGGAAAAGAAAAGAATGGTTAGACTCAAGAGCCATTTGCAAGGCTGGCCAGATAGCTCAGTGGACTAAAGCAAGATTGAACCGCAGGGACCGGGATTCAATCCCCAGAACCACATGCAGAGTGTGTCCTACCCCCAGGGCACTCTGAGACAGCAGCTGAGTCTGGGCCTGATGGCACATGGCTGCAATCCTAGCACTTGGGAGGCTGAAAATGGGAGGATCACTATGAGTCTGATCTATGGGACCCTATAGACCCCATACTAAATAATTAAAAATAAATAAAGAAAAAAGAAAAAAATTAGAAAAGAGCCATTTGAAGACATTATGGAAAATAGTGAGCCAGTTCATTCCTAGCCTTTCCACTCTCTGCAAAAAATAGTAATCTTACACCACACACACACACACACACACACACACACACACACACACACTGGAAAAGGCAGAGGCACTACCTTAGGAAGGGTTTTCCTAAAGAAGCTCCTATTATTAGAGTTTCTTCCAATATAAGGTGAAGACTGCAAAACACGGAACCATTGTTAATCGCTTCTTAATTTAAACAGTCTGTAATAATAATGAAGTTGAGCTTCTGTCCTCATCTTCCTTGTGGTGGCAAACAAGCTGCAAGTTTTAAAGCTTCTGTATTCAGTGAAGTAAAATGTACTGAAAGTTAGGTCCTATTTTGTACCAGTGCGGAATTTGTACATTTCTTAAAGCATGAAGTAACCAAGGAACAGCTTCCCAGACTGCTGTCTGTACCACAGAAATTCTACCAAGCAATAGTATGGAAACATAAATCTTCACAGCCTGAGTAAAGGGCTTCGAGTGTGGTGATGCCTTCTACAGTACGCAGCCGAAGAGCAGACCGAGTCAGGAGATCTTACAGCAGAATTTCCTTAATTTTTCTGTATCAGGTACTAAGCACCCAAGACCACATTTTTTTTGTGTTTAGATAGCATTTATGCTTAAATACTGTCATATGATTCAACACCCTAGAAAACCTTCTAAGATTAAAGAATTTATGCAGGTGTATACAGAACTCCTAAAGTAAATTATAAATGAACCTTACCTTTTAACCTTTTTCTCAGACATATGAGAATTTGCTTCAGTTACATTTTCTGAGTCCCGATCTCTAACAACAACAAATATTAGGTTGGTTCACTGTTAGCCCAGTCCCACAGAACTCCCAAAATAGTGGATGCTTCTGGGACAAAGAGATCTTACTGAAAACAGAGCCTCCCTCATTCTCTCAAAGACTATTGGGATTATGACAAGAAAGCAGAAAATGATCTGGAGAATTAGAGAAAAATTGCATACATATACATATATATATATATATTATATGTATATAGTATTTTAGAAAATGAACAAATATTGGAATAAAAATTTAACTACATTATACAGCTATTTGTAGTCTATGATGATATGGAAGAATCAAAATTCAAAATGAGGAAAATAAATGGGCTAATTGCATTCCAAAATCTTGAATTGAATTACTATTTGACATCCTTTCATGAAACAGAAGATCCTCCACTATTTTTTTTATTTATGAAGCATAACACTGTGCCAATTTTATCAGGGCCCACTGGAACGACCCTCTAAGCAGGGCCAATAGCTATGGAACCCCATCATGACTAGTCTCCTTAGATTTACTCTAGGAGAAGATTCCTAACTGTGGGCCCTGAGACTGACTCCTTTCAGCGGGAAGTGGCTAGGTTTAGTCTTTGCCCCTTCTCCCCTATTGGCAGTTACGTATAATCCAGAGGTGAGAAATGTGACAACACAGTTATTTAGTTAGCTTACAGATAAGACAGCCAGCTAGGGAAGGAGCCCGAGACAGACTTGTGTGATGAGCCGTATTCATAAGAACTAAAACAAGAGCAGGTGGTGAACTAGGACTTCAGACCAGGAATAAACTTGCTCAAGCAACATGACATGAAGCCCCTCCCTACTAATGGGGAGTGTAGCCCCTCCCTACCAAACTGCCAAGCTCCCAGGAACTTAAAATGTGAAGTAACTAGTTTTTCTGTGAAATCTCAGTTTCTTTTAAACCCTATCTAGTGAGTAACTGGGTTTGAGAGCAAGTTCCAACTGGAACTCATTTTAAACACACAGAGCCTCCCATGACAGGTGGTCACTAAACAGCTGAGCACCCCTTTAGTTCCAGCATAAGGGGCCATGTGGAGATTCTGCTTTTCAGATCTCCCCCTCAAGAAACCAACAGCCTTTTTCCCTTCTTGTCTTTTTTGAATAAAATCTCTCCTAAGTTAAAAACAAACAAAACAATACACAGCAAATTATTGCTATTGTTGTTGTTGTTATTTGCTTGAGTTTGGAAAAGCATCTATCACAATCCCTACAATTTAGGAGCCAAAAATAATGGGCCTCATCTCTTCCCTGACTTTCTTTGGCAAATTTGTAAGTGAGGTTACTGATGTCTGATCTCAAAGTTGTGGCAAGAAAAATAAAATTCTTTGCATAATGAGCACTGCTGCCGGTGAAGTATGTAAGCATAAATAGATACTAGTTTGCAGAAGCATAAAGACGCAGCCGTGGGCGCCGATGAGTCCTCCCTTTTGAGGGAAGACTTTCATATTTATTGCTGCCCCCAATTTGTATATCATTGAAAATAATTTCAGTTCTTAAAAGTATCTTCTCTTGTGGCTCTAAATATTGCATTTAAATAAGTTTATTACACACAATCAAGCTGCAGACTCCCACTCAGAAAATTGATATTGGTATGGACGTAAACAAAATATTATAAGGTAGTCTCATTTTATGTGCAATGAGATTTCATATCAATTATATAGCGGCATCCAGGCTATCAATAGTTGATAAAATATGCAGATTAGGCAGCATCTCATAGCCACAATTAAGCTTAACATTTAAATACAAGTTTCAGGACCAGCCAAATAGCTCAGTGGATTAAAGCGCCTGCTTAGGCAGTAGTAGCAGCCAGGGTTTGATCCCCAGCATTCCATGCTGGCCCTGCCCCAAGATGGCAATTGAGACTGAGCACGGTGGTGCGCTCTTGTAATCCCAGTACTTGGGAGGCTGAACACAGGTGGATCACTATGAGTCTGATCTACATAATGAGACCCTGTAGACCCTTACTAAAATACAAAAATAAAAGAAAATAAAAATGGATACAAGTTTCATGCTTTTAAAAGGAAAAGTCAGGGTAAATTACTTTTTGCTATGAGTTATAATAGAAATATGCTATTTTACATACATACACATATATACATGATACATATATATATATATATATATA